TCAAAGAGAATTGCTTTTTTGTCGTGCCACAAAACCGCCCCACCAACTTAACTAGGACATTTGGCAAAATTGAACTTTTTATTAATATTCTTCTCATGCATCTAGTTCAGGTAATCAAGTTCCTGCTGATTGAAATGAAGACTGTTAAAAAGCTGTTTTAAATATGAGCTGAGAAAAGCACTTTCCCCAAAAACGACCTTAATTTGAACAATAATGTTGTTGTTTTTTTACTTTTAAAAGCTTAGAAATAATAAAAAAAAAAGTTTAGAATAAGTCAAAAAGTTTACATTTTTTATATTTTTCTAAGCAGAGATGAATAAATAAGCTTTAGATCAGATTTATTTTTTTATAAAAAAAAAAAAAACAATTCCTCCCACCATTCATAGTCTGCAATGCATCAACCTACAGCATTAAGTGCGTATTACGTGAAGGTTAGGAAAATGTACTTCGATGTATAAATTTCCTTTTTCTGAAAAACAAATGATCTGCAGGGCAGACCTAAAAAAAAAAAAAAAAGAAAAACCCTATTGGCCTAATTGATGCTTCTTCTAATTGGTGATTTAACAGACTAAAAAAAACAAAAACAAAAACTGAAAACAATAAGATTAAATTTTATTTTATTTCAAAATTTAATGTGCATTTAAAGCAACTTTAAAAGCAACATAGCTAAACAATTTGATCTACTAAAGGCTCACTGTACACCCAGGCTTGGATTGCTTTTACGTAGTTTAAAGGTTTGTTTATTAAAGAGAAATTATAAGACTGTTTTTATCAAGCTAGGGGAAAATGATACAAAGAAAACGAAGGGATCCGCTCAAATACACCAAAAAGCAATACTGCATATGTCTACTGTGGATTAGATGAAACACTACTCCTAAACTATTTTTATTACTTTAACACCAAATGAAAAGTCAAGAAGAAATCTGGCGATCATCAGGCGCACTCTGAATGTTTTCCCTTTGAATTTTAGATTGCCAATCCTAGCTTATTGACACCTAGAAGTACAGCATGGACCTTTAAGTTTTTGTCTTTTTTGGTATTTATTAATAGATATGTTATAGACAGCTGATATATTGTAGTTTCACTTGTGCATCATTTGTTGTTTCACTCCTATCTTTTCCATCTACAAAACGATCTTTCATACTGGCAACGTGTCACTCTCTACCCATCAGGGAAACTTTATGTATCTGCTTTGACTACTGGGAAGCCTTCTATGGTGTATTCATTCTGCTGTGAGGAAATCTCCTTATGCGACTCTGATACATATTATCTTCTTAGGGTTGTGGTTTGATCGTGTTCATAAGTCAACCCTCCCATACGCTAATGAGAATCACAATTAAAGGAAATGGGGGGGGGGGGGGGGGGGGGAATTAACTAATCATAATATACATTAGATACACATTGATTGATTTTATTCATCTTCATAATTCATCAAACATGCCTAGAACTAACAAGAAAATTATGCTTTTTGAGTATGATATGGAAAAAGCCTAAGTTGTTTTAAATGATAAACAGACACTGAAAAGCTTTTTGACCAGCTGTTTTTTTTGGCAAATACAGGCCAAATAACTTTATTAAAAGTTTACAAGAGCGTTAATAGTGTCTCTTCAGCACCACAGGGGCCCTAGCTGTAGAGATTGTGTCCCTTTGTGAGGTCTAAAGCCTTAAGGCCCCGAGCTAGAGTTGCACAGCAGGTGCTCACAAGAGGCCAGCTTGAGGCGTTGAGTAATTCTATCTAACATGGGGATTGATCTAGGAAAGAAAAGTCATTTATTAGAAAAGTCATTTATTATTGTAAGATCACCCCTCCCCAAGTGCATTTATTATATTGTGACTTTAAAAGGGAAAAAATGATGCTGTTTATTCTCCTCTTTTAAACACGTGGATCTTTAGTGTCCATATCTGAGACAGTAGAGGGATTATCATGGTATCCTCCCTCTCATGCCGAAAATATCCAGGATGCAAGTGTGCAAGTTCGTTAAATGTGTAATTCAACATCCATCCACCCCAAGTTTTAATTGCTGCAGCTTAGACTGCAAATATTTTCTGTCAGCAAGCAGACTGTGACGCAGATAAAGTGCTGCTCTGATTACATCTGATCCTACATTTGGGAGAGATGGTTGTTAACTCCAGCACAGTTTTCGTTACTGCCTTCTTATCATTCCTGATTTACAAGCTAGTCTGTGACACAAGCTACAGAGGCTTGTTATAATATTCACAGCACTCAGTTTGACATGTTAAAACCCTAAATTTGAACATATTTTGTGGTAGGTTTAAGTAGTATTTATATTCACCCCATTTAACTCTGACACCCCCCCCCAGCCTAGTTTAAATAAAACCCTTTAATACAACGCTTATAAATAAAATAGACCAGAAAAAAGCTTTAGCAATGGCTTTAAATATTTTTTTTTGTGGCCTTTTTTGAAAAAAAAAAAAAAATAATAAATAATGCGCATTACATGACATGAAAACATAAGAAAAAGTTATGATATAACAAACATTTAACTTATGTGACTGATAACCTGTTTCCAATAGGGCTGGGCAATTCATTGCATTTTCAATATAATCGCAATTTAACAAAATGAAATTTTAAAACGCAGATTAACTTATTTTAATCCCACTATATTTAACAAGACGAGGACACACTTTTCCCTCCAACCCTTTAGGTGGCGGTTAAATGCTTGGAATGGGTTTTTCGCCACACGGAAACGTAGAGAGTTGCAGCTAGCAAGCAGACACATGCATGCAAGTAGAAGTAAACACTTTTTCACACAATGATTACAGTGAAGTAGATAGACTCTGGGCAAGCAAGCTTTCAAAAGCCGAAAGCCTTGGACGAAACGTCTACAAGCTTGGGGTTAGGGCAAAGGAAAATCGAAAATCGCAGTTTTGGTGAAAAATAATCACAATTTAGTTTTTTGGCGCAATCGTTCAGCCCTAGTTTCCAATGTCTTAAAATAAGTCCTCATAACATTCTTCTAAAACCAGCTGACATGAGATTTTTTCCGATTCCTGAAAACCTCCATTATTCACCGACATGTGGTTTACGCTATTTTACAATCATTAATTGTTTATTATTGCCGTAAAAATCTTACATTTTGATGGAAAAAACACTCTTTGTTGTCTAGTTATTTTGTTAATATAACTTTTTTTTATTACCTTTTAGCAACATTTTAAATTGTTTTCACACCAAATGCAAATGACTTGAAAAGATTGTGTGTTACATGTTATCTCCATGTAGAGGCCAGATTGCCATTACGGTGTGGAAAACCCTTGGCAAATGTGAAGCATATTTTTCTGGAGTTCCAATATTGGCATTTTTCATAAAATTTGTTGTAAACGTGTTCAGTTTGAATGCAGCATACAGGTTTGTTGAAATTTGCATTGCGTTTAGATTGAGTAACTCTCCAGAGTAACCAATTGGCTCTTGGTTGCTGTGAAGGGGCTGCAGAGATACTCTGCTCAGGTGGATGGATTTACTAGTTGTGCAGTGCAAAAATACAGCCTTCCTGAAAAGAGTTTGATTAAATAAACCCACTAGGATTTCCTTCTACCTCTAGTTAGAGTAAACACCAACCATGTGGAAGAAGATGCACTGGTCTGATCAAACCTGCATAGTGTGGTTGTATGTAGCGGTGGCAGCCTCATAGTCTGGTACTCTTCTTCTGCAGTTACAGATAAGCTGCTCTGAGTTGACAGGAGGCTGGAAGAGGCTAAAAGCAGGATGAAAACCTGTCAGAGGTTCCCAAAAGTCTTCCCACTGGGGAAGAAGTTGTCTCTCCAGCAGGACTAAAACTTTAAACGGCCAAATTGACGACACACCAGTTTAGATCCAAGCATATTTAAGCATTTTTATGGTTGACCAACTGGGTTTAAATTAATGTGTCAGTCAAGGAACGTTAAAACAACTCAAGTCCAGATTTTTGGTTTACAGGAAGCTACCAAAATGCTAAACTACTAGACAACAATAAAAAAGCAGAACATTCAGTTCTTCCAACGGATCGTTTCTAACAGACCAACAGCTGTTGCTGCAGTGGAAGGTGGTTTTACGGACTAATACATTTCACTTACGCTTCTTACTTATATTCCACTTGGTGTCGGCCCATCACCAACTGAAGCTTGTTGTTTTAATGTGATGTAGTGTAAAAAAGCTTAATCACTAGTAAAGTTTTTTTTTTTTACATATAATTATATTTATTGAGTTATTAGCAGCAGAATAACCACAAAAACAATTCTATTTGTAATGTACCCTTTAGATTGAAGTGCATTAAGGCTGAGACCGCTTAGAGGTGTTTTAGAGCATTTACTGCTTTACAAGTTGCTGTTGTTCTCTGAGTAGATTAGCAGAAACATTTTTTAAAAGCTCTCGTTACTGACAGTAATGGACTGTTTTGGATTTGATTAGTCTAATTTCTATACTGCCATCAGTGCTCTCAGAAGTTGAATTGAACTCATCCTCTCACTGCACGTTGGACCGAGTCTATCGCTGTGCATCTGTCCATTTAAACGCTTTTAGAGATTTACACATGGAACCAGGCCTGTACACATGTTTAGAGCTCGTCCTCATGCGAGCGGCTTTTTTTTTACGTAAGAAAAACAACAGATGTCTGGGCTCTCTGATTCACTGTCAGAAGTGCCATCTCATTAGCTGTGAATATTGCAGAGCAAACTAGAAAATCTGTGGCTCTGTTATAAATATTGAAAGCGAAATGAGTCACGGATCACAGCGGCAGTGTGGTAAATTGTCTCCGAGGGTGGGCCCGAGAGCTCAGCAGCGAACTCCTGCAGGGAGGAGTCAATCCGCGGGGGGAAGATGGGGAGAACCTGCTAATCAAATGGCTTAAATGTCGCTCCTCATCGACTTGGGTTTAACCACTGATCCTCATGAGTCTTTTGTTCGATGACACCCGTGCCTCTGTGAATGAAAGGATATCAGGTGTAATAATTATCATTTGTTTTGTTTTTGTGACCCCCTCCCTCCCCTTTGCTCCCCCCTGCAGCTGTCCCCTTCCCCCCCAGTCACCGGCTGACAGCTAAAGAGGTGTTTGACAGCGACGGGAAGCCCAAAGTGGACGTGCTGAAAGCCCACCTAACCAAAGAGGGCCGTGTTGAGGAGTCGGTGGCCCTCAGGCTCATAGGAGAGGGTGCTGCCATCCTGCGCTCCGAGAAGAATTTGCTGGACATCGAGGCCCCTGTGACAGGTCAGAACCCAACAGAAATACAAACGGATCACATGGATGTTTCCGTGCTTCCGATGGGCTCTGTTGTGCTGCTGTTTTAGCAGTTTAATGAGCAGATCATGTGTCAGCTTGTAGATGGTCCCAGTGAGGCGTATTTTTCAACACCATGAAGGATTTACACCCTTTTCACCATTTTGTCAGAGTTCGTCCATAAAATAATAGTATTTTAATGAAATTTTAGGTGGTGGACCAACACAGAGTCGTGCATGTGTTAATTTATTTCATGACAATATAATTTATTTGTACTTTTTTCATATGAGGAGATAATTTCCCTTGTCTTAGCAGTTATAGCTTTAGATTTTGTGGTTGGACTCAACACTTCATCTACAGACTTGATCAAACAGGCTTTCTGTGGACTAAGCCTAACCACAAATTATCATTACTTTGACTAGGCCATTCTAAAAATAGAAAATACTTTGATCTAAACCTCTTCTGGCTGTACGTTTACAGGCTGAGAGGATGCAGCTGATCTCTCTATTCATACAGATGCATAATTCTTCCACCACCATGGCGTCATGTTAAAGCACTTTGTCTTCATTCCTAACCAGCTGTGTTCTGTTGTCATTGGTTCACTATTGCTCTCTAACAAACTTCACTAAACACCCAAGTTCACTCTGCAAGCATTATCGAAAAATGAGTAAGAATTCCCTAAAAATAAGTGTATTTAGCCTAAATTTGAGTCTGTAAATTAGATGATCTGCCAATTGAATAAGTATTTTTACCCTTAAAACAAGATAATTCGATGTTATGCACTTGAAATAAGAAACTTTTCTTTTTATACACTGCAAAAATGATCTAGAAATAAGTAAAAATGTCTTAAATTAAGTATATAACCTTATTTTCAGTAGGTAAATAAGAGGATTTGTTAATGAATGCCAATGGAATGAGTAGTTTTACTATTAAAATAAGATAATTAGATAAAATGCACTTGAAATAAGATGGTACAATTGTTTTTTTTTTATGTTTATAAATTGTCTCGTTCCATTGGCAAAGTGTCTCACTTTGATTCTCACTAGATTTCATTTTTTTTTACTTCTTCCATTAGCAAAGTTTTTCTCTTACCTGTTTAATTCAAGACAAAAGGCACAGATTTCAATAAAATTGACTTACTTAAGTCTCCTTTTTTGGAGACTTAAGTAAGATGGACTTATTTATATTGTAGGTATGCGACTTCCTTAAGCAATAGTTTGTTTTAATACAAATACATCGTCTGCTTTTCAAGTTGTTTCCACTCCACAGCCATGTGTGGGGCTAAAGGGGCTGAAGTACTTTCATAAGGCATCATAGATCATTTTATTCCCCTGTAAGACTTCTTTTTTTTCTGGTGTCGACTTGCTTCTAGATTAGGTCTTTGAAGAAACGTATCCTGAATGCAGTTAAGACCTGCTACATGTTTGGAAGTTTCATTTCATGGCTGTTTTACTTTCATTTTCAGCTTTCCGTTCTCAGTTACAGTTTTCCGTCTGCTTGCTCACAATGATTGCCAGTGATTTAGATTGTTGACTGAAGCTGTTTTCACATCAGAAAATATCTGGATAATTTGCAGAGAATTTGCTTTGAAGTTTTCTTTCTTTTTTTTCTCCTCCTGCACTTCACAGCTGGAGATTTTCCCCATGAGCAGCGTTTTCCCTGAGAAATGCACCAAAGTGGCACTTTTGTGAAGTCACAATAGGACACGAGTGCAGTGTTGTGTTTGCAAACATTATTTTTTTTTCTTTAATAATGTCTGTTTTGAGGACATCAAACCTAATATCCGACATACACGGGTCTGGGTGCAATCATACAAAAAAGCTCCTCAAGATAATCGACATATTATAGGCTTCCTGTAGTTGCTTTGTTATTCTTTGTTATATATAAGGATGTAATGCTTACCAATGATAGCATTTTTGTGCTATCGTTTTTTTCTCTTTTATCAAAGAAGATAAAAGTCACAATTCGCACAAACATTCATAAGCAACAATGACTTCTTCCGGCTATAGAAGCTTTATACCCTAATTATACTAATTATGCCCTTAATGCAAATTATAGGTGATGTAATTAGCCATAGAGCCTTGTGTTTTTCCCAATGCACAGATGTTTTCTTCTGTGCGTGTGTGTCTCATTTTTTTTCTTCTTAAGTTTCATAATAAAAATGAAATATCTTTTATTTCAATTATCTTCATTGGGAGGGGACCTGAATGGTTAGGGCAACAAATTTCAAGCTCTGAAATTCTTGTAAGACGATGTTTCACAACAAACAATGAAGCTATAACAAACCTAATGTTTTCAGCTAATTTATCAGTTATGATAAAGAACAGATAAGAACAAGAAGCAGGAGCTGAGTTCTGGAAGCCCAAGGAGCGGTTTTCCAAAAAAAAAAAATCAATCTTAATCAACATAAAACTGATTGATTTGGGGTGCTGCTATGTTTTGGAGGTATGCTGGCTGTCGCAGGTTAAAGTTCCGGCTGTGCTGAACTTTGCCAAATGTCTCTCTCATCTCTTCTAACCCACTTTACTCACTCCATACTTCAACTGAAGTAAAAAAATAACTAAGTAAAGGCCACTTGAGCCTAAAAATAGTGTTAAATATTTCATTCACTTCATTTTATGATCAATCCCTCACCCCTAATCCACACACACACACACATACAGATACACATGTAAAATTTTAAAGGTCAAGAGTGAAGATGAAAATAATTTCTATTAATCAGAAAATCTACTATTTTTCACCACAGCTTCTCCTTCCATTTCCAACTTTCAGCTGATTTCCTGTGACTGGTGTCTATAACTATCTGCTTTTGTATTTCTAGACCGCCATTTTTGGCCTTTTTAGTTACTGTATCCCTCAACACATAACATTGATGAAGATAAACACTAAATATACATTGCTGAATGTGTTTTTGCTTTTGAATATTATTACAAAAAAAACTTTTCCACTAAAGTCTGATGTGGTGCGCTGCAGTTCTGTGGTCATCAGGGGACAGATCTGTAGAGCTCATCTAATCCTTGTCCCAGTTTGAACCAAAAATCTTCTGTATGCTGCAGTTACTGTATCTTGAATTTAAAGGTTTTACACAGAAACCTTTATTAGACGTTATTTTAAAATGGAAGTGGTTATAATTTCTTAAACTTGTTGCAATGGTTGAATATAACGGAGCCAGGAGTTTCAGTTCGGCTCACCATTCCCTGCCTCTGGACGAACACACCGCTGCGGGGCGGCTGCTGATGCATATTCATGCATCCACTGTAGCTATTGTTGCCTCTCTCACTGGTCAATGTATGCTGCTCCTCCATTAGACTTTCTGATGAGGCCTCTTTGATGTTGGTGTAATCAGAGGCAGAGGCCTACTCAAGGGATCTATGGCAACCCATCATTTCCTAATACCAGATCATTTCCACAATATAGTCCAGAGAGGCACATTTGACAGGAAATGTACTCACTTGAATTCATGAATGCATGACCCTTGTATGCCTCCAGTGTTTATCAAGGCCATTATGATAAGGGAATATCTTGTCTGGCTGTTTGAGACGATCATTAAAAAGATGAAAACAGGCCGCTAAGGACTTGCTTTCTGGTTCTGCTCTGAGAGGCTGACGTAATGAAACAAAGCTAGATGTGGGGGGGTTAAACAGTTCTCCCTTAACAAGAGCATAGCAACAGAATTAAGTATTTTTTTGAGCAGGGAATAAATTATTAAAGGAAATTATGAGCAAGAATCAACAAGTTTTGAGTCTTTATCAAACTATATTTATTAATGATACAACAAAGAAAATCTGTAAATGCAACTAAGCTGCAAATACAAAAGAACACCTTACTGGTTAATGCAGCCAAGTGAAACCATCTGAAATAAACACAGAATTACTAAAACTGAGTGGGGCTGACTATTGTTTGAATTTGAACGATTCAGATTCCTCATTTTTGATTTCTGGTTCCTCTCGATAGATTCTAATATGGGACCTTTAAAGACAAGTTTAGATTTTACAGGTTATAAATGAGCTGGATAACCAAAGTTCTTTCTGGATTAGCCTGAAATTCTCAAAGAAATCTAATTCCTTGATCATATAACTTTGTATGAACGTTACTACTGTATAGATTATTGCATACTTATTTTTGATCTGTACATAAATATCAAACTAATATACGCTAATTTACTCTTATGACTTTTCTTCTCACTTTTTCACCTATAGCTTTCTGTTTACAAGATAATTGAAACACATTTACATATACCCAGTGTCTCATGCTTCAGGTACTTATGCCTTATAAGACCTATTATTTTATTTGACAGATTCTGGCTGTGGTGCCGTTCTACGCTGAATGTTGTAGCTGAAATAACCTCATCCTTACAGAAATATACTGTTTGCTACACCTTAGTTCCCCTCAGCTGTATGTGGAAGTAGTTATGTTTTCATTTGAGGGAGAGAGGAACCAGCTTCATTCCATTGTTCAGTTAGGGGGTTTTATCATTTGCCAAATGAAATAAAATAAACAATTGATGAGGTTAAATGAAGTTGGGCAGATGGAGATTAAAGTGCTTTTCGTTCTCTCCAGAACACGTAAGAAACTAGGAAGGAATCTGTTAAGACATAGAGTGAGAGAAAGTACCAAAAAGGCTCTGCTCTACCTGCAGAAGCTGCGCTATGAATTAACTGAAGGAACTAATTCCCTTAGGGAGCCTACCTTACAGTAGCAGTCTGGAGGGTCAAAGACTAGTTAGGTGGTGATTATTAAGTCGGCTGTGGGCCATCCTTTGTATAATCTAATCTAATCCCATTACCAGTGTCGCAAGTAGCCGACTCATCATTTTTTAACATTAAGCCACACTTTTAAATGCCTCAGAACACACAGATGGTTGTGACCAACCCTGGAACTGATTACAAAACTAAAATAAAAACATAAAGCAAAAGCTACAGGAGTAAAAAGCTTCAAGAAATGGCAACATGTCTGGAAGTATGAGGTTAAGTCCACACAATCTTTTTGAA